ATTATATAAATTTTTTGTAACCAAATGTAGTATAAGTGTCACGCCCCCATCCTAGTCTCCCAAGGATGAGACGCAACTAGATTTTTGATACACCTATTTACAATTATTATAATATGGACTAATCAAACATTAAATAATTTCAGAGGTGCAACAGCACCACCCATCACCTTAGTCATTAGCATGATGGTAAAACATGTCTCATAACCTGTACCATATATAAAACATCTGTACCAATTATTTGTTTCTCAAGTTATAAACATATACAAAATCTCATACCCACATAACATACATCACAAAGTATGTTTGTTGAGTCTGTTTACAAATATAATAATAATTTGCCACAATAATCTCTCACAAATATAATATACAACTCAGCAATTAGTCATACCGACACTCAATTTGAGTAATATTACACTAATGTTGTACAAGACTCAATCGACTGGATAGTGGACCGGTCTGCATCCTCCTCTATAGTACCTGAAAAGAAGAAATTGTAGGGGTGTAAGTTAAACCTCGCGCTCAGTGAGTATACATGTTATATATAAAATTGGAAATTATAATAATACACTAAAGTAGGTGGATACTATGTAGATACACGTATCAAACGACAACATCAAACAAATTCCAACGAATTCACAAGTCACATCACATCCATACTACCTCTCATCGGATAATCGATTCCACATGGATCTATATCTCTCGAATCTCCTGAGAACACCACAGTGTTAGCACACCACTGCACGCCTAGTGATCAGGCATCGGCGCCCCTGTCTCACACATTGCGCCACATTCCACAATACACAGTACAAAAGTATCATCCAATCACATAAGTACGTAGCACATAATCTTGGAGAATTGCTATTAAATTCAATCATTAACTATCATCTTATAATAGCATTTTCAAAACATATAAATATATATACCCACCTCAGATGTACAAATCTATGGCCCTTCGGTCCTATCAGTGGATCTTTTCGGTGTCACCGTATCTGTTCCAATACTAACTGTTTCACTCGTTCCACCACATTTGTAATTACAATATCAATATGTTTATCACATTTAATAGTTAATCATGCACTAATGCATGTAAAATGATGCATCTCAAAGTACCCCGGTAACTCTAGTTACCACACTATCCACTCACACACTAGCACTTTTGTTCTAGGAATTACATTTCCTCCCTAAATTTCTAAAATCACTCATATTAGTCACAATTAGGATTAAGTATGTCAAACACATTGACCGAGGGTCTATTTTCACACATTTTGACCCCGAATCCTAAAACCTACATTTCTGGCATTTCATACATTTGCACCAGGTATTATGCTCATTTGTATTCAAAAGTCACATTATCACATCAAACATCTTTTAAAAATGCTGCATGCAAAATTTCAGGTCATTTGAATTAAAATTCACACACGTGATAATAATATTTAAAAATCAGAGTTTCGGCGTTATCGGCACCCTTTTCCCACTTCTATCACACTTTCTATTCAAAACCGCCACACTTAATCTCACATGCACATTTAATCATGCAATTTTAGCCTCTGATTGAACCCTTTAACCTCTCCATTTTACACCCATAATTTCGGTTCTATCCTAACCCTGGAAAACACACTAAACATCTCAAATAATCACTTTTCACATTTTTCTCACTTTTAGTTTAATATCCATTTGGAATCCCTTACTTAGCAGCCCATTAATTATGTTTCATATATTTAATGAAACTCACAAAAACCTGCTGTGAAATTAAATTACAACAACTTACTAATTTATGTTTAATACACTTAAATGAAACTCATAAAAATACGTTTTAAAATTAAACTAAAACAGTCCATAAAAATTAAATTAAAACAACTACTAATTTAAAATAAAATAGCCTCCACATATACATACATACTAAAATTAATCACAACTCATGCTTAAATTAAGTCACACATACATTCCTTGTTCACGGTTTAAATGGACACACACACATATCCTCCCTTTTCTTTGTTTGTTTTTTTTTCCTTTCTCCTTTATTCTCTTGCTCACAGTCACTCACTCAGAGCTTCAATAATCAACCAGACAAACATACACACACACACACACACTTTGTTTTATATATTAAATACACACACACGCCCCTTTATATTTTACTTCACACACACACACACACACACAACACACCCCCACACACACACACGACACACCCATACTTTTTTTTATTTTTTAAGGCCAACACCTGTGAAGGTGACCCATGTTAATAGGTTAATTATGCTTATCTCCTCTCAAGTTTTTAAATAATTTTGAAATCGACCCACTAATTTTTTCACACATGAAATTCTATAAATAGGTCTCACCAGTACATCACTAATGGGGTCTACATACCCAATGCATGCTCACACACATCATGACTATGGAAGATTTAATTTAATTAACTCTTTAATAATTTTACATAATTATAATTTAGCCCATAAAATTATACTAATATGCATGCAATTGCGTGATTGGGTCTCACTATAAGGTTGGATTAGAGAGTTTCAATTTATTATAACTCCTTAATACTGCAATCAAACAACCCTACAAGTTATAAATCTTTTAGGACCTAACTCCAAAAAAATTGTTAATTTTTAAAATCAAAGAATGTCTAAACACATCCCTATTTCCGGTGGATAACCCTTTGAGTTAATTTCATTTGCATGTGTTTGTTGGGAACAATTATTGGGTGTAACTATTACATTGTGTCAATAATGCTAAGTGATGTAAAAGTTCACTAATAGGTAAATAAGTCAGTAATAGACCTCTCTAAAACTCATAACCACTCAGCTATGTAATACATAATCATCTCCATGATAGGAAATGATCCATATTTGATCCTTTTTGATGTTTTTCTTATTGGATGGTTACACTAGGTCAATAATACTGACATTGTGTAAAGGTAGCACTCAATATTTACTCAGTTGTTGGAGCTTTGGATCATGCCACGTCAGTACACTCATGATGTGTAAAAACAGTAATATTACACTGATCAAATTTTGCGATCAAATTAAATACCCAAATGACATGTTAACATATTATTTGAAGTTTTTATTGGGGCCCAAAAAACATGACAATAATTTTAGAAACCCAAGTCAACTGCCATGTCATTTGGGCTCTTAATTTGAACCCAAAAATTGGTCAGTGTAATATTATTGGTGTAAAAATTAATTTTGATATAAAATATGAGTTAACGTAAACCATATTATCTATATTATTTTTAAAAAGAAAGGTTTAATATACTTTCTTAATAAGAGTAAAATTATAATTAATATCTCATCGAAAATTTCTTTTATAAATTTGATAGGTTTCAACATTTAATTCTATGTTTTTTTTTTAGCAATGACCATTAAATCATGATCTAACAACTAACAAAAAAAATACCTATTAAAAGTTATGATTCAAAGCTTCTATGATTGTGCTATGCCTATCTATTATGACAGTGTGTCAGGATCTATTATGATTCAAAGCTTCTATGATTGCGCTTTGTTCTAGTGGGTGAAAAATGTGTAGTCAATCTTGTCTTATTGTTGAACCTAAGTATTTGTGCTATTTATACCTTAAACGGAATAATATTGATATTAATTAGGCATATTTATTTATTTTTGTTTGTTTTTAGGGGGGGGGGGGGGGGGGAGGGGAGGGGAGGGGGGGGGGCGCAATCGACAAGGCATTATACCTTTTTAAATAGAAGTCCTCTTAGTGGTCCCTTTGAACAGTGGACACTGCATGTCAGCGGTGGTCATACGAGAGAATGTTCTATCTCTAATACAAGATGACCATCTGTCGTGCTTTTAATTGACTCAAGAGAAGCTTGGGTCAAATTTATCTTCCTTGAGCAAGTCCGATAACACGGTGAAGTCGGCGACTCCACTTGAGGTCAATATCGAATAATGATATGTTCTGATTTGTTCATGTACGTAGGGAATTTGACCTTGTGTTAACTTTTCTTGGGAATTGCACACTTGCATGACTTGGGCGACTAAGGTAGTGATTTTTGCCAACTATCCAATCTATTGATTGGTATATATTAGTGTCCCATGTTTCAAAACCTTCCCAAACGCAGGTACCAAAAAAACCTTATTGGTCTTTTGGACAATAGATAATGCATGTCAGTAACTGTCATATCACAGAATGTTTCAGCCCTGACATAAGATTGACCATTTGATGTGTTTTAAATTGGGTTAAGAGAAGCTTGAATCCAAATTTTCTTTCTTGAGTAAGTCTGATGATAGGGTGCAACTGATGACCCCACTGAAGATCAATATCAAATGATAATATGTTCCAATAAAGTAGTGATTGTTGCCAACCATTCAATCTATTGATTGATTGATGTTAGTGACTCATATGCAAGTTCGAAAAAAACAATGTAATTTGGTCCGAGTCTAAGCCCAACATCTTACCTACTTTGGAATGGTCCTAGGACTCTTTTTTGTGTCTTAGGGGGTGCTAGCCCAAGAGATGATATCCCTGTCGGTGAGCCCTTTATCTAGTCCAAGTATCCAACGACGATTGGCCCACCAAAGCGAAAATGTTGAAAACTCAAAGCCCTTTTGGCGAATTTCTTTGTGTTCCAGTGTTTCTTGTTCGATTTAGGATCCAAAGCCCTTTTGGTCCCTTTAACACACACACACACACACAATCCTCTGTGTATAGACCATCAATTCGATGTTCTTTCGAAGACTCTGCATTTCTTTAGCGTATACTAACCACAACCCATATTTTCTTTTGAAGAAATTCGCATACCCTTCTGCTATTTTCAAACTCAAACCCGCAATTTTTTTTGCCCAAACAACTTCAAATTGTTTGGCCAAAAGTCAAATTTCACATCGAAAAGATTTATTTCATCGAATTACAAAAATGGGTGTTTGCAGAAGACCACATTTAGTACATATACCATCGATAGAGACAGCCGATAAGGTCGAATTGTATCCAGACAATTCAATTCTGATCCTTTGGTTCCAAACCCTAACCCTTTGATCATGGTGATAAGTGGTTCGAGTGGTGTAGGCAAAGATGTTGTGATCCAAAGATTTGGGGGAAGAGACAGAATGTATACATTTTGTCGTTATTGTGACTACTAGCCGGGTAATGAGGCCTGGTAAAATTGCCGGAAAAGATTACTTTTTTGTAAGGAAGAGTTTTTATCAATGGTAGAGAAAGATGCCTTTTGGAATATGCATTGGTGTATGGAGACTATAAGGGTATCCCAAAACAGCAGATTCGAGATTATATGGCAAAAGGGTATGACATTTTGTTGAGAGTGGATATTCATGGGGTGGCGTCATTAAGGAGGATTCTGGGAAATTCTGCGGTGTTTATATCTCTGGTGCCCCCGCGGGGGATGGGTGTGGGTGGTGAGGCAGTGTTTGTGAAGAGATTGATTGATTGATAGGAAAACGGAGATGAAGGAAACTTTGCTTGTGAGGATTGTCACAGCTAGGGTGGAGGTTAAGCATTGTGAAGGATTTTGATTATGTGGCTGTGAACCAGGAAGGAGAATTGGAGAGTGCGGTGGTGAATTTGGTGTAGTGGATTATTGATGCAGAGAAGGCCAAAGTGCGGCAAAGGAGTGCGGTGATGTAGGCGGTTGTGGTGGTCATTTAGTTGATTGGGTAAATTTATGGCTTGTTGAATTCATTTTAGTTACCAAATTTAGTTTTGTCATAGATGATTGTCAGTCATATTTGGTTTTAGTAACAAATGGTTAAGCGCACAAGGCATCATTGTGAAATGTGTATTTTGGATGATCTGAAGATACATGAATGTACTTTGTGTCTTACAACAATGGAACTTAACACTCAATAGCATTATCTCAATACTTGTTGGTTCTATCAAATCCTTTTCTACTTTCAGCTGTATCACAATCCTTGTTAGTGCAGAAACTTCAAAACAAATTTTTTGATTAAGTGTGCATGATCTTGTGTATAGTGAAAGTCGAGGCGTTATTATTTAGAATTGATAGAATGTTTGGTATTGTACCATACAAAGGTTGTGTGCTGCTATGTTTTTCTCCATGTCATGTACTTTACTACTATCTTTAGTTCTCATTTAAAGTCTTAGACAGAGTATTGTTATTTTGATTTTTTTTTCCCTTTTTAATCAGCAAGTAGATGTTTACCTTTATGCTGCTTTACATTCAACCTGCTGAAAACATGAAGTTCCAAACTTTATTGAAGAATAAGAGAAGTTTTTGATTGAGGGATTTTTTTTTTCCGCTCTCTAATCAGCAAGTAGATGCTTACTTTATATGGTGCTTTACATTCAAACTGCTGAAAAGATGAAGTTCCAATCTTTTTGAAGAATGAGAGAAGTTTTTGATCGAGGAATTGATGTTTAGGGTTTTCTGCTGGAGTCATTATATCTGTCTCTGCAATAGTGATCCAATGCATGCGCTTAATTGGGCCGACCCCATCTGCCTATTGTCTTCTTCTTTGAGTTTGACCTGTTGATTATATTGATTAAACTTGAGTTAGGGTGCTTTGTTGGGTTAGTTAATAGTCAATTACTTGGAAGGAATGGATGATATCATACATTGGGAGCTGCTTTCATTTTATGTTTAATATTTTGTCATACGCAGTTGGCTAGATTTTCAGGTTGATTCACTAGGATATAAAAAAACTCTTTATTCATACCTGTTTCATACAAACGGGTCTAACTATTACATCTATACACAACTTATTTATTAAACGAGTTATCCAGTACGACTCGTGTGTTATCCACTAAATAAGAGAATCGATACACAAAAAATCATCAACTTCTCACATATTACATATGTGTGACCTGTTTATTACAACAATAAATCACGACTGAACAAAAAAGTGTATGCACAACAGCGAATGTGAAAGAAATCACCATTCCTGAGGTGAGGTAGAAGCTAAAATTTTTTTTTTTTTTTTGAAATTTATAATACCACTGTTAATGAATTAAATGAGTTGAAACAAATTTATAGGTTAAACGCAAAATCGATTTGTTTATTTCACGGGTATGTCGAATTAATCTGTTACCTACTTAAACTCGTTAAGACTATACCTAAATTCGCTAAATTCGTATCTTTTTCATGAGTCGTGTAATATTGCCAGCTTAACAATATCTTGATGATGTCGAAGACCAAGTTAATTGCTACCTTACGCTGCTAGCAAAAGCTTTGTTATTATTCCATCTGGCTTAGGTTGTGTTGATGAAGTTTTGTTCAATACAATGCATGCTTTAACCTGTAACAGCTGATATATTGTTGTAAGGGCTCTATTGCTCAAACTGAGGCCAATGTTGATTCTTTTGATTCTCATACTTTGTCATCATTGTCTTTGTCAGGCATTGTGCTTGACCCTTTGGGTTATGTTCTTGCTTGTACACCTCTCTGCTAGGAATTTTGACTTTGGAGTGGTGAAGAACGATGAATCGAAGCCCTTTTTGGTTCACTTTTTCATATGAAAATCTTGCCTTGAGGGGGGATGTAGGAAAGAGTTTAGATACATCTTCACCTTCAACCTTTGGATTCTAAGGACCATTCAAAGGTGTCGATCGGTTAAGGCAGACATGGCTAGCATATTCTATGTACAATTTCAAAATATAGTGTTTTTATTCTCATTAAGAAAGGGATAGAGAATCTACACTTTTTATTTCTGTGTCAGGGAACCAGTAAGTAGTAACTCCTAGACATGATCATAAGAATCTTCACTGTGGAATGTCTGGTTTAAGTCATAACTACTAACTTAAAAATACAACCAATTATCACAGCATCACCAAAGCTAAGCAACAAATCGCGTTACTCTTGTGGATCGAATCATGCTTAATAACTACATGAGAATCAGAGATGATTTTAAACGGGTACGATTTATCACTAAACTACTAGCTCGGGTGATAGGAAATCTCCAATTAACATGTCTCTGAGGAGGTATTTTTTTCTCCTTTCCTCTTCTGTGGTGGTTCAGAAACTGCACCTATAAGAAGAGGTGCTGAGGTTATTACAGATTCATTATAAGAGGGAAGTATAGAATAAATTTTTCACGAATTGTCCTCAAAGAATTACCAAAATTCGAAATGATGACATTAGATTTACAGCTATCATTGAAATTTTATGATATTTCAATTCTCTGTCCAAGACTATGTAGTCCAATTCTTCAAGGTTTTCAATCAGGGTTCAATGAAATAGCTAACAAATGATCCAGTACAGTGGAGCAGCCATTGACAAATCATCTGGGACCCCCCTCCCCTTAAATGGTGATGTCCAGATCATCAAATTCCTTGCTTATATATGCAAATCTTAGTCTTGTGGCATTATGTTAGAACCATGACAAACACAACGAACCTTCACAACTACAGAAAACTAAAAACCAGAAGCTTTCTTTATTAAAACAATCAACAATAGCAATAAAAAAAAAAAAAAAGGTAACAGCTTTTAGGGGCAAGTACTGGCTGCGCAATCCTCTGAAATTGGGTTGAACTTAAGCTCAATACAATCACACGATAAGAAAGAATCGTATGACAAAGATTCGATCATGTGAATTTGTGATCTTGTTGCACGCAACAGGACAATACAACAAGATGTGACCTTAAAATACTCACCGTATTACTAGGTCGAGCTGATATACACTTTCACTGTCACATCTACAATCTGATTTGAATCTAGAAAATGTTTCTTAAAAATGCACTCCAGATTGCAATTTCAATAATTGTTGTCGCATACAAAGAATATTCGTGCACTCAAAGGGAGAGGGAATAGGGGGCTTGAGACCAACCTTTGTCTTAACACAAAAAGACTCTTGCTGTAATCCCAATCCTGCAAGCCACAAACCAGCAAAATTTCCTCCAGTGCACATTAAAGAACTGTTTTTTTTTCTTTTTCAGAATAACAGAGAGACGTCTTGACCAGACACGAATTCCGAATGCATGTAATCAGTAATCACCCATAAATCATACATACAGAGATTTGGTCAAGAAATCGTTCTCCATACAAAATTGAGTTGGCCAAGGCAAGTCGTTGGATTGGCATACTCTGCATGGGGTCATGCTATTATTTAGTCTTGGGTAAGTAACTTGTTAATAAAATAGATTAGTGTCTTGTATACGTATATAATTTACCAAATCCTCTTGTCTGAATGATGTAACTTGTTCTCGTAGGAAGAAGACTTTTGAATATTTCATAAGCTAAGCAAATTTGGTCCATTTGGGTGACTTTGGCTTTGAATTCTAATTAAACTTACATTGTACCCCGTCATGAACAAATCATATGTGCCATGTCTATGAGATGTTTGGACTTGTGGCTGCTACTTAAACTTACGATGTACACAATCATGAGCAAATCATATGTACCATGTCAACCTATGGTTTTTTTTGCGACCTTTAAACTATTCACTCCTTTAAAGATTAAATCTTTTGGAAGTGATACTTGAAATTAGATTTTTAAGGCCATCATGAATTATTGCGACTGCAATATGATATTAGATAAAATAGTAACAATTGAGTGTTTTATCTTTACATGTTCGTCAACAATAAAAAAAAAACTAAACGTGCTTCCTGAGCTTATACTCCTCTATATATATATATATCAAGCCTTGAGAGCTCATACCAGCAAGACTTTTAAGCCAAAACTCAGTCCTGTCCTACCAATTCAAATCCAAGTTTCAACACCAACAGACCTTATAGAAAGAAGCTTTAGGCCTACAAGCTGCGTCCACCCGGAAACATGGAACGAAGGACATTTACAGAAACTGAAGGAGACATTCGTTTGCAGATTATAGAGCTCGACGCGAAGCTCGGAGACACCAGCAGCCCAGGTCCAAGTTCGACCAGTTTTGAACCCCAAAGCAGCATTACCAAAAACACAAGCAACATGAGTTCTGTTTCTCCTCCTAGATCAACGGCGGAGCGTGCACCTGAACAGAAGCTGACCCTCTGTGCTCTCCGGCTTGCAGTGCTGGAGAAAGCAGCCACTGGGCTAGGAGCTCTCGGGTTCATCTGGGCAACTGTAGTTCTTCTTGGTGGATTTGCCATTACTCTTGATAAAACAGACTTTTGGTTCATAACTATAATTCTGTTGATCGAAGGGGCACGAATTTTCAGCCGTAGCCGTGAGCTTGAATGGCAACACCAAGCCACATGGTCGATCACTGATGTTGGAATCAGCAGTTTCAGGGCAATAATGTCCAGCTCCCACTTCATCATCAAAGCTGTGAAGGATATATTCAGGCCTATTTCGGTAGTCAGGAAGCCAAGCCGAAGCAGCAGGGAAATTACAGAAAGCAGGCACCAGGCAAGCCGGAGAGAGAAGAAGATGCCAAGCAGAACATGGGCGAGTTCAGATGTTCCTCTTCTGCAATATGCTCGATGGGTTTTCTTGTCGAAAAATATTAGCAGGCTTATGTACTGGCTCCAACTTGCCTCTGCAAC